TAGGTAATTAAAAGAATCTCTGTTGACATACCTGTTCCTAACTCCACTTAATTTTTTCCCCTCCAATTGGAGTTGTATTAATGTTCGAAACTGGTACCAAGTAGAATTTAATAGAGGAAACTGATTTTTATTGATAATAGGGCAGGACTACAATATGAAACTGAATTACACATAATCAAAGAATTGCAGAAATGCAGACATCAGACTGGTTACAATGGTTCCCTACCAAGAATTAGAGAGCTAAGAGCTTGGTCTCTCCCTCCCAATAACTACTCAAAAACTTCCTAATAACCAATTTTCCCTGACCTTTCCCTATTTATTCTTAAACATAGGCACAAAAAACTGACACAAGATGAAGGATTACACATTTGTTCACCAGGGTTCCATAAATTGAAGTAGAGTGACAGAGCAACCAGTAAAACATGCGTCCTTGTTCCTGGATCATATGCTTTGTTTTGGGTGGTATTTTTAGACCCAAGCGCAAAGTGGGACAGCAGTAGGCCTGGTCTCCACCAAAAAACCTCGGCCACCCGCTCACAACGAGGATCGGTGCTCCAACGACAAAATCCAATAATGACATAGAGATAGGACTCGGCAGCCCAATGACGATTGAGAGAACACTATGGTGCACGGGGAGGAACTCCTCCTTCATCTTTTCTGCTTTCTCAGCCTTGGACTCTTCTTCAACCCTTTCTTCATTGATAACCTTCATTTCCCTTCTATATCTGAAATTTCACCAATGACCTTCATGTCAATGGAATTGATTAGCAGGATAATGATTATTATTAGCAATTATTCGTCATTATTGTAGAGTTGTAATGTAATTATTTTAGTAGCTCCTTAATTATGAAAACAGATTGTATACACCATATATAGAGGAATAATACAGCAGAAACATACACAAATGTGTGTTAAACATGGTAAGAGTCTAGGTTCTGATCCTACCCTAATTCAGTCCAAAAGTCCTAGTCTCGTCTTTCACAAGTCTGTCCAGATCTGTTTCTTGTACTTTCCTTGTTATTTTTTCTCTCGGCTTCATGTCTACTGAAACGTATGACAAATATGATATCTTGTTCATTCACCTTATTGACAAGACACACTCAGCCTGGGCATTTCAGTTCCAGATATTTGTCACAGGTAAGGAAGGACGTTTGGGGTCATGATGGCGGCACCAAGCCTACTCCTGACAAAGAGAAGCAGAAGGACGAACATGCCAAGTGGGTAGTCAAAGATGCACAATTAGTAATATTAATAGGTTTAATATATTACTAGATTCAACTTTAGTAAAGATGCTCCTGTTAGTTTCCCACAAATGTTATCCTTTTGGTATACAAAGACATCAATAAGCTATGATGCAACATAATATTCATCGATATTAATCTGTGTCTCTTGTGTCAAGAAGATAGAGATAGAGATATCATGAAAAGTTATAGGCCGCCAAATCATTATGAAGGCTTTAAATTTAGATTATCTGTCATTAGGAAGGACAAATTATTAGATATTATGACATTGTTTGATTCATGTAGTGGGCAAAGAATCTTGTTGTATACTATGAGTGCATTGAGTACTAAAAGGACTAATTGCGGAGCCAATTGACAGCTATTACGATTTACAACCGTCATAACTATAGCTGATTCTAACACGAATATGGTAACAGAAGTTTAACTACTATACTTACAGTACATAATTGTATATGCATACAATGAATTAGTATTGAGTACAATTATGTATATTGGCAGTCATTTTGAAACATTGAATTTGTCAATGGAGGTTTCCTAGGTTTTGAAGGGAACAAGAACTTTGAATCTAATTCTAACCAACCTTATGTGAAGTCCATGCAATCTGCTCATATTTATCATGCTTCTCTTTGTTTTTGAAGTTTCTTAAATTTTTTTTATATGTCATGTGATGTGCTTTAACTTTCTCAGTTTGATTTCATGCCACAATCAATGTTTGTATTATTTCATCATAGTATATAAGAAGAACGTAGAGGTAAGTAGTTATTTAACCTTGTTCTAAATGCTTGGGCAAATGCCAAGACTTTTAATAATGTGAAAAACCCTCTCAATATGAAATGAAAAAATCAAAAGATTTTATAACCCAAATTAAATGTCTTCATTATGAAATACAATTTACGATGGTTCTCTTAAAATCAAACATAGTGTAAAAAAGATTTGATTTAGGTTTCTGAATAAATGGTGGTTCTTTGCAGAATTTTTCTGGCGATGCATTTTGAGAATACAAGTTGAAAAAGGGTTCGCCGTTATCCTTGGTATCATGTCTGTTGCAATTCTTCTGGCAGAGGCAACTCTTCTACCTAGTGTCGATCTATCTCTTTTCTCAATTCTCATAAAATCTGTTGGAACACAGGAGATGCTTGTGCAGGTAGACCAATATATATATATATATATATATATATATATATATATACACACAGAGACATACTGACACACTAACAGACACACATATCTCACCTTGTCGCATAAAAGTTTGTGATGAAGATTTTATTCTAGAATATGGAAAATCTTACAATATTTTAAAGATTGACGTGACACATCTCATGTGAACTTCCTAGTGATGGAGTAATTGGGCCTCTTTGGGGTACTTATTAACCGGTCAATTGCAACCGTGCTTGATTTTATTTTGTTTTAAATATAATTGGTTCTCTGCCTATCTTTTCTTAGCTAAAACAAACTTGCATCCTTTTGGCTAAGGCTGTAATTCACTACCTAGGACTTAAACTCACTTTTGGAGTTGGGTTATGCATGAAGTCAATGCATACAAATTAGTCAGATTTAATTTGTATGCACTAAGAGTATAAAATAGTTATACACATACATCCAATTACATCTTAACATTAAGATATTTGTGTAAGTATTTTGAATAATGCTATTAACATATCCGAATGCTGAAATTTGGTTGGACGTCACTGCAAAACAATATTATACTTTAAGTGCTTACAAGTTAAACTTAACTACTCATGGAATTCCACATGATGTTTCTTTTCCTTAATGAAATGCTTGCCGTATTATTATATTAATGAAGACATGCTGCTTTCTGAATCACATATCTTCAATTTCTTGCTTAGGCTTTTGCTTTTGTTCCACTCATGTACATGTGCATTTGCACGTACTTCTCCTTGTTCAAAATTGGAAGACTGGTGTTTTACTCATTGACACCCCGGCAGACCAGCCCAGTTAACCTGCTTATGATATGCTCGTAAGTGATATTTGTGCCTTGTTTCTCGAATTGTCCGTGTGCTATCTAGCAAATATAATTTATTTTCTATCTCGTTCCCAGTATGGTTGCTCGCTATGCTCCCCCTGTATCATACAACTTTCTCAATCTCATTCGCCTAGGGTCTGATAAAACAACTATATTTGAACAGGTAATTACTTTATCATGGTTTCATGTATTTCTTTCTTCCTATTAATCTTTTTTCTAACTCGATGCATTTTGTAATTGTTTGCAGCGAATGGGGAACATTGATAATGCCGTTCCTTTCTTTGGAGATAAATTTAACAAAATCTTTCCACTTATAATGGTTATATACACCCTTTTGGTTGCAAGCAACTTTTTTGACAGGGTATTTGATTTTTTGGGTAGTTGGAAGAGATATATTTTCAAAACTGAAGCTGAAGATTTGGATGGTTTCAATCCATCCGGGTTAATTATCTTGCAGAAAGGTATGCATGCTAAGACTTCTTAGTTGTTAAAGCTCTAGTTCAAATTAAATGGCAAATCATGTCTATACTCGGAAGCTTTTATGTATAGTACGGATACTAAATTTGTGATACTATTGCTGATGATTGAATTCATATAATCTGTAGAACGGTATTGGCTTGAACAAGGTCGTAAAGTAGGCGAGCAAGTTGTTCCACTTGCGAGGAATTTTAACAGCGTTGTTGTTGAACCAAGCAACAACGTTATGGTATGTTTGATCCATCCTCTAAAAGAGGAAGCAATCATTTCTCATTATTTTCATTTTCTTCCAATGTGTAGCTTAACATCATCGTGACTTTGACAGCTGCAAGATATAGCATTTGTTACTCTGCTCTTTCAAACATTTCCACTCATGTCATTACTTTTATTGTTCAGGAGGAGAATGCTGTTGAAATGAATGGAACTTCCACTTTAACTAATGCCGATAGTAACGGACATCTGTCCAAAACTTTGAAGGAAGAGACAAGGAGATATACTTCGAGCAGAGACGCGATCAGCAGTAAGTATGCTGCTGTCAGACAGCAGAGTGGACTAGCATCTAAATCGAAGGCAGAAGAAAGAAACTTAGACTCTGCTAAGGTTTCCTTGCTTGATAAAGGCAATACTCATTACGGTAATACATCTGGTTTTGTTTCCACATGGCAAACATTAAAAAAAGGCTTTACGAGTTTCAAGGCTGACGTCGGGGACGTCAATGGTTTTCTACCCATACGTCAAACACATCAAGATAGGATCTCTAGTGTTTCCTCATCTGAATCTCTTGATGACATATTTCAAAGACTGAAACAGCCTTCAATGGACCAAACCTCTTACAGTGACAGTTCTTCAAGATGATGTCGATAGTTTGGGCAAGAATTGGTACAGCAATTTCCATACAGCCTTCAATTGACCAAGCCTTTTACAACAATGAATATAACTCGACGGAGGCCAATATTTCCGGTTCTTCTAGATTGCGCGATAGTTTGGGCAAGAAATTGTAAGTGTTACAGAATTGGTTATGCAATTTCCATTCTATCATGTACAGTAGTTGAGAAATATCTCAGGATGATACTCTCCTATACAGGAATTAATATAAGTTCCAAATTAATCACATAAATAGAGTATAATCAGATTTAGTTTCTCTATGGGGAATTCAATTTAGAGAGTAAAGTAAGTATTGTAAAAAAATCTATATAAGCAGAATAATTACAGTAAAATTATTTCAATTTAATTATGTGTAAGTTACATTCTTAAAATTAAAAAAAAAAGTGGATCTAAGTTAAACTCATGATGAAAATTCAACCCTTTCTTTCCCTCGTAGTTCTTGAATACATTAAGGCTTCTTTTACATCCTTCCTTGTGAATTTGAGTAGCTTGGACCAAAAGCTTCTTTTCTTATAATTCCCATGAACCTCCCTTTCTCTGATTTCGCTTGTCGAAACAAAAGCAATCGACTTACTCTTTTTCAACCCATAGCTGAAGCTATCCATATTGGAGGAAAAAGAATCCATCACACTGGATGTTTGGCGACGGTGTAGACGGCGGCTATGGCCTTGAGATTGAGACATATATTTTGACGAGGATGAAGAAAAGTGTTGTGGAGATTGAGGTACATGATGAACTTGTTTGCTGTTGTTAAGCTTTGAAAGTTTGTCTCTTAAACAATAATAGCAAACACCAGGTAGTTGTTTGTCATTTATGTGCTCTTTGCACTTTGTTCCTGCTGCTTCTAACTCTGATAATTTCATTTTGATTGATGTTTTCTCTTCTTCTTCCTTACGTGCGTTTTAGTACCTTTTTATAGACTCATTAGTCGTCGTTGAAATGAATAAAAAAATGCTCAATTATGCATTTCCTAGAAACTTCACTTTTCACTTAATTAATATTGACATCATATTTATGGATTTAGAAAGAAAAAGTTATATTATCATATGACCGCGTCTAGTCTAATCTTGCTTCTCGATGGTTTCTTTAATTGTTTTTTTACGCAATCTTCAACGAAAGTGATGTAATTAAATTCGTAAGAAAACATAATAAGTGATTATAATTCAATTGAAGAAAAATTGAGTTTTCTCTTTAGAATTAGGAATAAACAATCATCTACCATAAATTTCTGTACAAACACATCTACTATGTTAAATTGGCTATGAAATTACGTGTTATTTATTGAGATGTGGAATATGTGGAGAACAAGAATACGTGGGAAAAATATCATGTAACTTAAGAGTTACGAAAGCAGCCAAATCAACATTTGTCTTTTGACTCTGTGAACGACATCAGAACATGTTGTTAGTCAAGGGAGCGCACGTGTGCGTGTAATAAACTAGTTATTTTTAGGCCTACGACGACAAAAAAGACAAACAACCGATAGAAAAGAAGATACGACCCACACACCAAAATCAACGTTTGCCCCAATAATGCTCACTATTTTCTATTTTTAATTATATATATAAAATTGGGTTCAACTTATTATCAGAACTCCAATTTCGATTCGGTAAAAAATCAAACATTAAGAATTTGACACATAATAATAATACAATAATTAAAACAACATATTACACATATATCATAGATCCATTCACTAATTAAACATCAATTCATGAACATGTTCACTTTTAAACAAATTAACATACGAAATTCCACACATAATTCAACATACATTAATAATCAAATTGCAGTAACTAACACACACACACACACACACATATATATATATATATATATATATATATATATATATATATATATATATATATATATATATATATATATATATATATATATATATATATATATATATATATATTATATATATATATAGGTTTGTCAATATATATATATATATATATAGGTTTGTACAACCATCTTTAAATCATCTTTAAATCCATAAACTCAAAAACTCCATCATCATTGGAGTAAGGAAAAGGTAAGAAAAAGATTATGAACATTCTCTATCCTATATGACATTAAACACCCATATTTAAACCAAATTCTCTCCCACCACTTTACTTCTGATTTTCAATAATAAATCCAAGCTTTGTTAGTGGCGTTTCTTTCTCTCTCAAGCTTGCCTCTTTTTTCAACTATTGCCTCCCTCGCGTTCTAACTTTTACCCAAGTTTCTCTAACTTCTAATTAACCTAATTTTCCTTTATTTTATATTCAAGTCTCCCTACACCTCTTTGTTGGCTTAAAGCATCTTTAGTGAGAGTAAACTAAATGGGTAAACTAAGATATTTTTTGTGGGTCCAAAATGATTTATAGGATTTAAAAAATTTATATTTGATTTGAGTAGTTTTTACTTTAATGGTGGTTGTCTATAAGAAACCAAAACTTGACCCCATATTTTATATTTTTTATTCAAGTTACCATTAATTTAATTATTTTAATTAAAATACATATAATTTTTTAAATAAAATTTATCTTAAAAACTTAAAAATAATATTAAATATATTTTATTATAAAATTAAAAATGATACAAAATTCACAACAATAATACATAAAAAAATTACATTTTCATTGGAATATAATTATAATAAGGATTCGATTGGTTGAGATCCATTTGATAAATAAATAAGATTGAAAATTGAAAGAACAAAATTTAGAAGTAAAACTGTGTGTAAAAAAAATTAAAATTTCTATAAAATTTATAAAAGGTAAAAAATGATAATATGACCGTTACTATTTTCAAATATCATATCCTTACTTTAATGTTGTTGGAATATTTGGAATATTTTATTAATATTAAATAATATTATAATAGGTTTCACATAGTTAACGTTAACTATATAAATAATGGAAACTAAATTTTAGTTCATTTGGATGCTATGTCAGCTTTCCTATAATGCAAATTCCTTATTACTAACGTAAGCTATAAAGAATTTTGGTTTAACAACCCTGCGTTAAAGTTGCTCTTAAAACAATCTCCAAGACAATGATAGTAGTATTTTGATTCATACATGTTTTAAATTGGCTACAAAAGATGTGAGTGTGAGTGTTGTATTTATGTTAGAAGTTTTAATAATGACTTTTTAATTTTTTAATTATTAGATATTGATGATATATTGATTGTTTATAATTATTTACATGACGTAAATAAACTGAAAATCATGTTAAAAAAAGAAAATGACATGAAAGATTTAGATTGACACTAAAAAAATTCTTATATGTTGTTTAATGTAAAACATAGTCAAAATTATTGAAGTTTCATGAGTCATGATTAAGACTAACGTGTCCTTGACTCTTAAAGTTTCAATAAATTTTAGAAAGATTGGACTAACTCGTATTCAATTGTCTTTATAAATAATAGAAAGCTTATGGGTTGTACATTAACAATGGTCAACAGTATTGAATCTATGGCTGACACATTATTTAAAGCAATGTGTATAATTAATAGAATTCAACTACCCTATCCTGTAGTAGTAGTAGTGTTATAAGCCAAAGTGAGGATGGTCCAAACTTTAAAAACCATAATTTGATAATTTGATTCCACTACAGCATATGATACTAATCAATTACCATTATATGCATGCAGTAGAAAGCTGTAACCAGAAAAGTATTACTCATGGAATATTTTGGATATATTGAATGTAAAAGATGAGAATGACTATAAGAACAAGGGATCAAGCATACACAGAAACATAGGGATCAGATATCCCTATGATCATTTTGCTATGTGTGTGAGACTGAGGCGAAAAGGAAAGAGAAGAAAATAATGTACTGACATTGGAATCTTTCCGGTAACCGCTCGTGCGTGTCCGATAAGTTAGCTACGATCCACAATTCAGAAAGGGACCAAAGTTAAAAACTACTAGGACGGTGTAAAATACAATAGGACCACTTATGTCTGATCGATGAAGATGGAGAATTTTTCCTGTGCACAGTTGAAACTAAACCTTCACACCCTCAATTTTTTATAATACTAAAAATATCTCCATCTAAAAATTGGCGTGAAAAAAATCTGAAAGGTTAATAAAAAATCGTTATACATTAATTTTTTTTTGATAGATCAATAACAAAATTTGGTATGCGTTTTTTTGTTGATTTAAAAAAAATAAAATCAATGTGTCTCAAAATATATAGATTTATTTCAAGTGAACTAGAGATTACATATTTTTTCGATAATCTTGAAAAATTTGATAATGTTAATTTATCTATTTTTTCAAAAACACTTTTAAGATTATTGTTTATTTATTTATTTTTAAAATACCTCAAGTGATTATCGTATTTTTACCTTGATATTGAAAAATTAGTGTTAATTTTTAAAGATTGAGATTATGTCAACACTTTTGTAAGGGTGTGATTGCACTGGAAATTTTGCGTGGTCCATAATGATTCCAAATTTGTATAAATATGCATGATATGTTGTTGAAAAAACATTTTAGCATGTCTTGATATTGGTATTTCGCGTTTGTGTACTTCAACGGCGTAAAACCTCCAGTTGATTTTAGGCTCACATAGGACACTCATCTTGATGTTCTGAAATTCAAACAGGATAATGTTATGCACCATATGGACAACATAAAAGTGGTTAAGATCGAGTGTTGTTCACCATTAATCGATAATGAAGGAAAAATTAGGTTTAGTAAGTAATGTTTTGTCAAGTAATGTAATGCTAATTTTCTTCTAATGATATACAAATAATGTCAGCAACATAAAAAAATTAACAAGCTAATAAAATTTACTTAGGTTCACCACGGGCAATGTGTGTTATATGAGACAACCTGACATACATTTCACCATCTGGGTTTTCCAAACCCTTGAGTTTATCTAAAAGAATTATTATCCTCTACAGTCGCTGCTAGTCAGTCACATCAGGTGGAGGCGGTAACACGTCATCCGAAGGTCCTCCATCATGGAAAGGTCTAACATCACCAGTAGGGTGAATATGTGGGATGATGTGAGGGTGTGATAATTTAACATACCACTCTAAGTAACCATCCTCACACTGCCCAGGAAACTGCACCTACCGTATTATCTCAAATAACAATGGCACCGTTGACAATGTTAAATATAAACCATCTATCAATGCCCTCAGATGGAATAACATGGACTGGTCGGGGTGCCTTGAACATACCCAAACTGGCACAGACACATGTCAGGTAAATATATAGCCACTAAACTCTCCCATCCTAGATAACCTGAAATAGGTCAGTGTCATAGAAGTGCCTATGCACTTTATGCTCTACACAAGGTGTCCATATGACATTGTTTACGATCAGCGTATCAATTCTCCACATGTACTCCTAAAGACCTCTTGGATGTGAATGTCCGACCCTCCTTCTGATGGCCCATGGGGAGGCAGCGATATGAACACGAACACGCATGTCACAAATGGGCGGAAAATGCTTGTATATCAACCATTTCACAAGAAGAATAAATTACATATACAAAATTTCTTTGATAAATAAGAACTAAATAAATAAAACATAATAAATATTCATACCTAAAATAGACTCATATAACCGACAAGCTTCCTCGTCTTAAAGACAATCACCTCTCAAAGGGCAGTATATAATACTTGTCATACCCCAAATTTTACCTTTAGATTGTTAGATTCATTTCGCATTTCATTTCATTCTGCATTACATTTTAACTAACTGCTAACTGGTTTGCTCAGTCTGTTTGTGTTGCAGGAAAATAACACTGGGTGTACGCTTTAATTTTCAAAGGGGGTCCGTTTGAATTCAGAAGTTGTGTTGGATGCGATTTAATTTCAAGTATTGCGCGAGGTCGTTAGTTGCCGATTT